TTCTCTTTGTAAGAAATCCGTGATTAATTAACTCCTCAAGATCGCCGCTCAGGTAGAACTCAGATCGCTCCCATTCGTTATAAATTTTGACCCCTTCATCAAAAGATTTCGTCAAGTTTGGCTCAGCGAAAAAACGTTGTCTTCTTACAGCATCTCTCTCTTGTAAATCATAGAAGACCACCTCACGTTTGATGGGTCTGATCTTGTTTGGATCATAGGCATTTATCTGTAAGTTGGCTTTAAAATCAATCAGACAGCCTCCCAATTTGATGGTTTTCTGCTTCGAGTGATAAGCTCGTTCAATCAGCTGAATATCATCATTCGAATTTGGACTCCACTAAGTTTGTAGAGACGCGGAAAATGGATCAGGAGTAGAATTCCAGTACCAAACGACCGTTTCATGGTTGGTTGACATGGGTACGAAGAAAGAATCAATAATAAAAAATACACCAGCAACACTAAGAGAAGCTGTTTGTCAAACAGAATAAATTTTAAATGAAAAAAGTATTTTTTTGAGGCACTTTGAAGATGTTTATAGTCAGTCTTTTTCTTTCTTTTTCAAGACAATATATGTTAACATAAGCCCTTCCTCTTACGATTATATACATATTTTAAAAAGAGGAACTCGCTTGTAACTTTTTCTTGCTTTCTTTGATGCACATTTCGTTACTCTGAAACGTACAAAAAAGGAGCATTTGTACTCTTAAGACACGCAAGCGATAAGTTCAGGTAAGTTTCATGTGTTTTTCAAATTATGTTTATTATTTATTGCAGAGATAAAAGCGCTCTTATTTCTTTGTCACAAAAGCCAGGTAAAATGTGTACTTGAGCTTCGTAGTTATAGCATTTCAACATATTTTGGAAAGCAAAATGTCATTTCATCAAATCATATCGCCCTGGTTTTTAACTCAGAATAGTGTAGCTTCAAGCAGGAAACAAAAGTTTTCGGTACTACTTCTGTAACGTACGAGAAGTATGGGAGCATGTGATGTAGATCTTGAATGCTAGTCGTTTGGTAGTTCAAATAGACACTGGACCTCAGCATAACTTTATAACGACGATATATACCACTGGCACGGTACAATTTCTGGTCTTGAAGGTACCCAAGCGTCAAAAAAAAATCTAGTGTCGGCCGATTCTTCTAGATTACTAGATTTTTACTCGATTATAACTACTGTGTAACGACAGTGGAAATCTAGTAATTGGGCGATTACTAGATTTTTTCTAGTTGCAACTATCGATTTATCACCCGATAATCGATCGATTTAACTACTACTAGATGACCTGCAGACGCATCTAGTTAAAAGTCCCTTTTCCAACTAGTAATCTAGATGGCAACTAGTCGTGTATCGCCCGATTACACACGAAATGTATCTAGATTTTTCCCGTATGTGACATTTGCTTGGGTAGTGTCTATAAAGGTGACATTTTTCCAGTTGATATAAAATGCATTGATTACGGGCATCATTCCAACGTTGTTTATTATAATTCTTTATTTGTTCTGGTGTAAATGGTAAAGCAATTATCATACACGAAACAACATTTAATGCTAAATCTAATTTTGCATTTAGTTGTCGCTTCGAAACTTTTACCGTTTTTCAACATTCAGAAATTTCATATGGTGTAAAAGAATAAGCTCAAATCTCTTACTGTTTCTGAGAAATCCAAAAACTACGACGAAATGTGCGCCGATATTTTTCGAAAAAATCATGTACGCGGACATTAAACTCAACGGATCTCCCTGAAAACTTGATTAAATTTAGATTTATTATATACCAATCGACTCGTCTTTCTAAACTGTATCTTACAATATACTTGAGATGGCTTGTCTCTCTACCCATATCGTAGTGACTTTTACAACAAATTAGAGTATGATTATCCTCTTAATTGTGTTGGTTGAATGGTATATTGCTCAGTTGAAAAAACGCGTCTAACGGCCATCAGTGCCTGCACATGTACCGCACGACATTCGATGCGCATTGACGAGTTCTTTCAAATGATGTATGACTTTCATTTTCCGTTTTCACTAAGCTCATCTACTGCCAATCGGACCACGTTTCTGAATTATCTCACATAAATTAGATATTGTTGTGCGTTCACATGTCAATGTATCAGGATGACTTTTATACAGTTCGCTGTTTCGTTGAAATGATGGAGAGGAGATTGTAACGGTTTGTGCTAGAGATGATACTGGTGTATAGATAAGAAGTACAGCTATTATAACTGGTAATTGTACCACACAGCATCATGTTGATATCCTTTTATTTTTTATTTTATGTTTATGATTTGATGGAGAATAGAATTTTCAAACAAATTAAATTTTTCTAAATGACGGTCCACAGGGAATCTGTACAAATCAAGACGGTCCAGAGGGAATCTATAAGACAGAATCAGAGACATAATCTTATAAGATCCTGTGAGATTTTATAAGATTCTTATACAATCTTGTAAGATCTTGTGAAATTTTATGAGATCATGTACCATGATCTTACAAGATCATTTTTCAGGATTCTTCACCCTGAGTACGAATGGCCTTCCATGATTTCTAAAACCAAGACATGACGGTCCCAAGCGGATGAAAGTATTCTGAATCCATTCACACATCCAGTTAAAATGCCTGTATGCTTTTTTCTATGTCTGCAGACTGGATACTAGCGACACCCAAATTAGTAGAGCAAAACTTGATTGGATGAAAATGATATGGAGTAGGTAGTCCACTATGGCGAATTAAAAAATCAGCATAAGCGACCTCTACGGTGAATCCTATTAGTCGAAATATTTATCTCAGCTTCGCTGAATGAAAATGATTTGGAGTAGCCAGTCGACTATGGTGAATCCGAAAAGGAGAATGAGCGACCTTTACGATGAACCCTATTGGTCAAAAACATGATTTCCACTTGGATGGTTGAAACTGATACGGAGTAGGTATTCAACTATGCGGAATCAGAACATGAGTATAAGCGACCTCTGTATTCTACCATTCCATTCACTTTAGTCTGGCATCTTACAAAGGGGTTGTGGGTATTTGTGTAGAAAATATGGAAAAATGGCTATCGGATACTCCATATGTAAGCCAGTCACAAGAAAGGAAATATAGAAAATTCTTTTTTAACTACGAGAGAGAAAATATTCAGAGAGACGGCCGAAATATCCACTAATCCAGGGAAAGAAAAGCGAAGCAAACCTTTTCCTGCAGTTCGGAGGTGGATGTCGCTGGAAATCAGCCACGTCTGATAACACCAAAGAGTCGCCTAGGAACAAAAGTTACAAATTATAGGTAGTCTATCATGGCGAATCGGTTAGGGATGCTTCCAGGGCCCTTGGCATCTTCAGAGGGTGTCCAGAAAACGTTTTACCTTGATAGTAGATGGTGCGCTATGAGAGAAGTTCATAATATTTCTCACGTATCCTGGTTGCGAACCCGAAGGAAGGCGTGAGCATTGTCTTCAATATATAAATAGTATTAGACCTCTTAGGATTTTTGGAGGGTCTTGTGAAAACCTTTGAGCATTACATTATATTAGGAAGCTTACTCTAAAGAACGTACTTGGGGCCAAGTACTTGTGCAAGTACTTTGTCAGCGTAGTGAAGCCGGTACTGCTCTTTTTTTCCAGGACTAAATTTATTTGTAAGTACTTGTCCTTACTTGCCAAGTACTTTTAGAAAGTACTTAGCAATAAGGCAAGTATTTCGATCATTGACAAGTACTTAGCAAGTAATCAAGTACTTGCATTAAGTACGTTCTCTAGGCTACACATCAAATCGGAGAAAACTTCACAGCATATTTAGATATTTCTCCCATTGTGTTAGGGTGTAGACACAAGTTATTAGCGGGCAGGCAAGCGTACGCGTCAAGACATAATACGAGAGTGATCGGAGCTAAGAATTTAAGAATTGGGAATGTGCCTTATTTATGTCGTGCCTTGCAAGGACAACGATGGTCGCCAGAACTGTCGTACAAGCTTGCTGCTGCTTGTTGAGAATGTTCTTCACAATGTAATGTGAACAAGGAAGATAATTATCTTATTCTGCAAAAACAATTTGACACTGACAGTTCCTTTCCAGTCAAGGGATAAGTGAATCAGAATGATGAGCGATACTTGTCTATATTGTTGAGTTTTTCCGAAGACGGATCTTATCAAAGGTGACTAGTTTCTGGCGACATCTGTGCCGAACAATAAAAGAATTTTACTCAAAGCTTTTTTTCCTCTCCACTTCAGTAGATCTTTCAAGTCGTCTCTTTGAATGTTTTCTCTGTCGAGATTAAAAAACAAATTTCTATTTTTTTCCTCATGATTGGCTTATCCATGGAATATCTGACGGACATTTTTTCGCATTGTGCTTATAGGCAGACAGACATACACATAGACAACCATTTTGTAAGATCCTGGACTGAACAAGATCAAGGGAAGAAAATGTAGTGGTCAGTGGAATTATACTGCTGAGTATTCGTGTTCAGACATTCTGGTTGATTCAGACTTTGTAGAGATAAAAATTGTAAAAGCTTTTAAGTTAGAATTTAATATCGTGATTCTCTCTTTTCTATCTTAAAATCAGGGTTAATTGTTAAACAAAATATTACTGAAGAACTAAAACAAAAATAGAAATGGACAGAATTATTAGAGAAATATCGATTTACCTCATTCGTACACTTATGCTTTTCCGAAATAATGAAGCGAAGAGAGAAGCATCTCAAATTCAGTAAATTGTTGTCCTCATTTCTGGCTTGTTGTAGAATCGCTGCCAAAAATAAACTAAAAGTAAGAACGAGTTCACATTTCTAGAATTAATACATACATACACAAAATTAATTGATATAAATAAGATTATCCTATTTCATCTTTGATTACTACAAAAAACTCCTGATGATGATGGTTTCTTTTAATTAATGTGCACGATTCTTGCTTTGTTGTTTGAATATTGTATGTATTGAAGAAGTTACAAGTTCAAACTGAAATCTGGTGACATTTTCTTCGTTTTTTCTATATTTTTGTTCTAGAATGTCATATGATTTCGGTGATCATCAAATCGATGCTGATCAAGTGTTCTATATATCTCCAAGTAAATTAATTTATGCAACAGTTAATCTGAAACCAATCGTAGAGGGACATGTATTAATTGTACCAGTTCGTAAAGTAGTTCGAATTAAAGATATGACACGCGATGAATTATATGATTTAATATCAACAGCCGAGTTAGTTGGCAGGACTTTGGAACAGAATTTAAATGCAACAGCACAAAATGTAGCTATACAAGATGGAAAAGAAGCAGGTATACAGCTGTGAAATACTCAGTTTTAATTCAAAAATCAAACTTGAAGGATCATGTGATAATGCGGTGAAAAGATCGAGGATCTTTTCAGATACTGGATTGCGGAAAACATTAATCAAACTTTTCTGTTTTCATCTCTTACTTCTGACCAGAATAACAGTTACATGCTCACGATAGAAACTGAGAACAAAAATACCCAACGTTTTTGAATATCACTTATCTCATTTCTGTTTTTTACGATGCACCATCACACCGGTGTCTGTCTATTTTGATAGTTTGTTTCTTTTCTTCACTTATTTCCATTTTTTTGCTTCTTGGACTGCAAACACATAGTTTTCTACGCATTCTTTTTTGATTTTGTGGATATATAAACATTTCAGGCAGTCTTTTGCTCTACATGCTCGTTGAGATACAGAGTGCGCTTATGTGAGGTTGCTGAAGCAGTTTAAGTTATAATGTGTCTGTTGTTAGGTAACGGAGCTCAAGTGGACATTTTTTTCGTTTTCGATCTCTATAGTCGTCGCTAGGCTCCATTTCAGCCTTGATCAGCATTTGAAGAAAGCGATTAAAATATCTGGCTACCATCAAACTGCGATTGAGCGCAAAACCTTTTCTCTTTAAGATCGTAATTAAAACTGAATGGAGAGAAGAATTCAAAGTAAAATCAGTGGCTTAGCCATTTTTGAGAGAAAAGTTTTGATAAAGCATATCTTGAGTTATGAAGTCGTACCTCGCCACATAATGATTAGAGATCATTAGCTGAGTTTCTTGGCCATGTTTAATATTTATTTTGTCTGTAGATTCTCTCATCTAAATGTGGTCTTCATTTTTGTTTCTTACTTAGGTCAAAGTGTGCCTCATGTTCATTGCCATATACTGCCCCGCAAAGCCGGTGATTTTGAACGCACTAATGATGTTCATGAACTATTAGAAAAACATGATGCTACACCCTTGACCAAGACGGATAAAAAACAGTCACAAATGGTAGTGGATGATGATAAACGTAAACCGCGAACGAAAGAAGAAATGAAAGAAGAAGCTACTAAATATCGACAATGGATGCAGGAAGCAGAACACCACTAACAATAAAAAATTGACTACAGAATTAATCATAAACAATAGTAGCATTTCTGCTATCTACTGTCTGATAAAGTAGCGAAGTGTTTTTCGATAACTTTGTTCAAATGAGAATGACTGATGAACAAGAAAAGCAAATAAGATAATTAAATTACTCACTAAATGAACACAAAACGAGGAAAAACAGATTTTAATTTAAGGTTTTTGAATTAAATGATAATGGTTCGATGGTATTTTGTCGTTCTGAAACAGAAAAGCCAATCAAACTATAGGTAGTTTGCTATTTTGAATAAAAGCTATGAAAGTTTTGGTTTTATCATTCGATAGATAACAGAAAGGCGAGTCGAATGTACTATTTGAAATTGACTTCCCATTTTGCTTTACTGAAAATTTACCTACCGCAAAAAAGGTCCAAATCAGATTTTTGGAAACCCTTCTCGAAATCTCCAAAACATGTTGAAAATTTTCGACGATACTACAAGGAAACCCTAATGTTTTACTATGAACTCATAAAAAAGCCTGCTCGTTAAGTTAGCCAAAAGTTTAGTATTACTGGGTCCTCAAAACACAAAAGAACGCAATTGTCGACATTTGTCGTTCTATGAAGCCGATATTTCCAAACTTTTTAAACTCCATTTGTGCTAATCCTACTCATGGGTCTTTTATTCAAAAGGGTTTCAGCTTATGCGAACAAAATTGTTTATATCATGGCACGGACTTTACGGAAATATCCAACATCAAAACGTAAAAGTTTTAGGTTCTACGAATCTTCTCCTTGGAAGAGTTCTTCTCGAGAATGTACAAAGTTGATTTCATTATGTTTTACCTGGCTTTCTCTTTAGATACATGATGCAATCAAAATTATTCATCTCCAGTTCAGTTAGCAGTTGATTATAAAATAACTACGCAGTAATTCTATTTTGTATTCTCTCTTATCCTTTAAATCCGTTCCACTTTTGATCATCAGGCGAACTGCTCTGATATTCTTAGCTTCTATCTCTAATTTGTGTGACTTCTTTTCGCGTTTAACCCTTAATAAAAAAATTTAATCTGGAAATGTATTTGTATTTCGAGAACTTTACACAGTCAACATAAAAAAAGTACTCAAAATTCTCACCCACTTTTAGACCCCGTTTTGATACCTCAATTGGTTCAAAGAAAGGTTTCAAAATTTGCGACAATAAAAGTTGAAGAATTTGTGTTTCTTGGCTATCTCACTAGTTGGAACTATCATGCAATTACACAGTAAATTACTTATTTACAAATATCACTTATTTGTACAGCCAAAAAAGCGGTTATAAACGGAAAGAAACATAAGGAAAAATGGTCTCTGCTTCATATCAACAAAATAAGAACTTCATGTAAAAGGAACAGCCTTATGTCTCGTTTTGAAATGAGAAGAATGAAAATACAGATCACGCACATGTTTGCTGTATATATAATACAGCATAGAATCGTATAAAAATATGATTTAGAAATATACATCGTGTCGCCATTTCAGGCATGAAGAAAGTAAGAAAATATGTTCTTCCACAAGATATGCGAGCGCTGGGCGTTTCCACGCGTTTGGCGTAAAAGAACGAAGAAGGGAAAAACAGAAGCGTCGTCTTCCTGGTCTCTTTTATGGTTCTGAGCCCTGCTGAGAGAATAATATATAGAGATTACAACTCTGCTTGTATACACTTTCAGTAAAGAGATGGATGCAGTATGACTGTTGAAGATCATTTAAAAAGTATCTCTCAAAATATATGATATGTATGTCTGCGCTTTTCGTCGCTTTAATCACATTCATATCTTTCTCTTCTTTGACTGTGCCGTACCTAGGTGTACCGATCTATCTTTACCCTACGCATCGATCTAGTCAGAAACAAGAATATCTTCTGTTAATCTAAAATAAATATAAACTGAACATTTTAACTCGATAACGGAAAACCTGAAAAATTTAAATTTTAAATGTTCAGAAGCATTTCTATATAAAACCAATGTGGTATTGGAAATCTACAAGAAAAACTACATCGAATGATAGAATCGAAGCGCCCAATAAATAGCGTGACTTAATTTTTTTCATGTGACACGTCTATGGTAGTATGCTTGATGCTTTCACAACCGTTGGTTAAGAGAGGATGCATGAGAGTAGCAGGAAACGACAAAACATGAAAAAAAATAATACTTATTATTGGGGGCACCGATTCTACTCTCAAAACTGTGATTATGAAAATTCTTTTAGACTTTCAAACCAATCTATTCTGAGTTATAGAATTTTCAAATAAAGTTACGGTAAAAACTGTAAAAATACGAAGTCTTCCGTAGCTTTCATTTGTCTCCGTTATTTTTTGTCGGAAAAAAGCATAAAATGTTTAACGAAACATTTATTTATAATAATATTTTATTTTTTATAATAAGTTTTGTATAAAATTGTTTTATTAATAAGTATAATTATTTTTCGGTTTCAGAAATTCAGTGAGATAACCTTGTACGACCGGATTTTTAAGATTCAATAGTGTCATATAATTTGTTCCACCAGATACTGTTGTACCATAGGCTGGAAAAGATTCCTTAGCGGATCAAACAACAAGCAAACACTAAGCGGATTACTGTGTATGATCTCGCCGTAGTATCGTATTTTCTTAATTTCATAATTTTTTTCCATTTGGTAAACACGGAACTCTCTCAGAGAGTTCCGTGTTTATGTATCCGTGTCGATGTTGTTACAGTATTTCATATGATAGACCTTCAACCAGTTTATTCTTTGTGCAATTTTTCCTTGTTTCATCAATAATCTTTTTAAGGTAGTGTTGTACATTGTTTTCGATAGGCTTTTTATCAATGATCATTTGTACAGATTTTAACAAGTACCATTCAGCAATGGTCGAAATGGAATACGATACTATTTTAGGCGTACAAAGAGCACTCATGATTAATATAAGGTTGATAAGAAACGTTCTGAAAGTAAAGAAATAAGATCTTCTAATAAAGATGTGAGCATAATTGATCATACGTGCGGAGGGTAGTTCTAGTAGTAAGGATGAACACGGAAAACAGTTTGAAACATATTGGTATGTACGGATATTTCGTCTGGAAATGACAGATACAAAGACGGAAATAAGCGGGAAAAGACGGAAGGAAAGCATTTAACGATATCACCGTAGATCGTCTCTCGACTGCGAGCGATTTTATCTGACTTCTTTTTCTCCTGTGCTATCCGGATCTAAAGAAAATATCAAATGAAAAGAACAACATAGCTATACTTGGCCAAGTCTTTGCAAGAAAAAACACAACATCATCCTTTAACAATAAAGACTTTTTTGCGATAAAAAATCGGTATACAGTTTTCCGCGAATGAAGTTTTTTCAAACTCACTCTCACACTGCGTCTTGACGCCAAAAGTCAATTTGCAAAAGGGTCGGTTCGCCGAAGAGTCCTGTCACGACTGATTATGTGACTCTAAATTGTACCAGTTTCCACTTAAACTTGAAGGAGTAATAGTGTTAATAGCGATCGAACATAAGCTAAGGACCGCTTAAAAAACGATCACACAATAAGCTAACATACTCTAACATAGATGCTATGTGACTTAATCCATTGAACGACATTTTTATTTCTTATTTTAATATACTATAGATATTTATTTCATTGTTTTCTAGTTAACCAGAAATTCCACGACCAAAATGTCATAAAGAAAGCTGCAATTGTCATCTATATTGGGCGTCTATATACCTTAGTCCGTCATGACTTTTCGTACCTTTTACATATTGAATGAGAAAAAGTAATACATTCCTGATTTAATTTAAGTTACAAAATCAATATCAACAAAAAAAGACTTGACCAGTACAACTCTAATGCTAACGAATTACCGATGTCTCTGGAAAATGTCTCTGGAAAATGTATTCAACCAGGAAAAATTATTAAATAATAAATAACTTTTAGGGTTAAAATATCGAAAAGATTTCTTTCCACTTTGTCTGTAACTGTCGAAGACACCGCTATCGAGGTATGGAATCCGAAAGTGGTTGAAAAAAGACGCTGGTATCCTTAACAATCTCCTTATTCTGTCACTTCGCTGTGTCCACATCTTTTTTTTGTGGAAGAATCCGAAAGATATTTTACACTTTTTTAGAAGACCCACTTCTCATTCTGGAAATAATATTTATTTCCGGTTACGTTCAGCTTTGCGTAAGATTGCTTTTCATTGGTCGCAAAGTGCTTTTGAAAATAAAATCACATTTTTAAGCAGCAATTTTTCACCAGTCCATGGACTAAGCTATCTCAATATATCGATCACTCACTAATGCATCCTAATAAAATGCGATTCATCAGCATATCGAAGTGTGACAGGGAGAATTAGAATAATTTTCTATCGTAATAGTAGCCGCCGACTATAAAACATGGTTTCTAGATATTTTCTACTTTATCTTCGAAAAGTTCGAATACTCTACGCTAGTTTCTTTCTTTATTTTTATTTACGATATTTCAAGTTCAAGTTAATAATTTATAAAATGAAGAGATGAAAATTCTAAACTATTATAATAATTAAACTTGTGTTTCTTATTTTTCTCTTCGTTTTTTCTCTTCGTTTTTTCTCTCCTTTTTTAGTTTTTCAATCTTTTTGTTGTTGCTTATATTCTGCTTTTCATCTATACGAAATAATGATCACTATCATGAGTGCCCCCCACTCGACTGTGATCATTACTCGTTATTACTTCTCATTTTAAATAAAGTAGTTTAAACTAAACGCAAAAACATCTGTATACCTTTTTGGACACAGGGATCTGACTTTGCTCAAAAAATGGTAAATGTCCCCTGCGCTCCCAACTCCATGCTGATATTCTGAAATACTTCTGAATTTATTGGTTGATTCTGTCTAGAGTACGATATTATGTATTATCATATTATGTATCTAGTTGGTATGCCTCTGGAGAATCTATACAAAAGTTCATTTCTTTTTTATCTTCGTTTCATTATAGCTTGGAAGGACATTATGGCCGTTGAGATATATCAGATAGTTA